CTGCGTGTCTGCGTGTCTGCGTGTCTGCGTGTCTGCGTGTCTGCGTGTCTGCGTGTCTGCGTGTCTGCGTGTCTGCGTGTCTGCAAACAGTGACAGAACGAGCTCTGCTCCTGCCCGGCCCTCACCTGCTCTGCGGAAGGCTGTCATGGCCTCCAGGACAGCAGCGCGCAGCTCGAAGGCGCCAGCCTGGGCTCCGTGCCACAGCATGGCGAACTCTCCTGACACGTGGTACACTGCCAGGGGATGGGTTGCGTGCTGACAGGGAGGGGTACAGTAAGGACCAAGGAGCCACAGATCTTCACCAGCTTCACACTTGATCTTCGTGTGAAGGCAGAACAGGCAACAGTTCAACGCCGCTACACAGTGAGGTGATCCATCCCATGTTTACCAGCTGCAGGCTCCTGCGAGTCAGCAATGGTGTGGAATAGCTCCTGCTTGTTGCCTTGTTAACATCACGGGCTCTCCAAATAATACTGCGAACACCTGCTGTCCCACTTCATCAGCAACACCTGTACAAGAGCCTGCAACTGCTATACTCTGGAATGGATCACTCTGCTGCAGACATGGAGTCTCACAGCCCGTCCTAACAAAGGCAGGTTTGTGCTCAGGATGTTTATCACCCAGCTAGACAGCTGGCAGACTGACCTTGTCTTTGACCTCTCGTACAATGTCCAGATACGGCAGCCCTGGCTTCACCATTAGCACATCAGCCCCCTCCCTCACGTCCCGGTCCTGCAAGACAAACAGTGCCCCCTGCTGGTCAGTGCTGTCCTCAGACTTCAGGAACACAGGGAAGCTACAGGACAGATAAGTAGTAAAACTTATTTTATACAGCGGCTTTATCTTAAAGCACTTTTCTGAAAGTGTAAAAAAGGATATAAATTGTAAAATCGATGTGCTGAGGGAAGGTGGCACTCTGATATAAATGGGAATGGAATTCCTGAGCTCTGGGGTGCAGCAGGAGAAGGCCCTGTTACCCACAGAGTGCAGACCAGCCTGGGGGACACCTCGAAGACCGGTCTGAGGTTACTGAGGAACGACACAGTAATCGGGCACTGCGCCGCCCCCTGCTGCCTCACGTCGCCACGAGGGCACAAACTCACCACGGCACGCAGCGCCAGGCCACGCGCCCCAGGAGGCAGCTGGTAACACCGTCGGTCCCCAAACGCAGGCTTGGACTGGGCAGCATCCCTGAGGACAGACGGGCTCGTTAGGAAGACAGCGGCCCGGCCGAGACAGACGGGACGGGACACTGCAGTGAGAACCACTCGCTGTGCTTACCTGAAGGGGCCGTAGTAGCAGGAGGCGAACTTGGCGCTGTAGCTCATCACTGACACCTGGAAGCGAGAGGAGGCAGGAAACAGCAGAATACTTGACTCAAAATAACCAGCACGGTCCTTGATTTGCTGCTACTTAAGAAACGCTTACACCCCTGCAGCACGGTGCTGAATGCCCAGGCAGCTGTCCAGCCTGAGGAATGTTTGGACACAAACGGGTTAAACGCCTGGTCCTCCTGAAGTCCCTTTGGCAGGCGTCCTGCTTGTTGCCAGGACCTCTGAGAGATCTGGTGAGCTGCTGGCCTCACCTTGTTCCCCAGGGCGTGGGAGAGGAGGGCCTGCTTGATCGCCCCAATGCGTCCGTCCATCATGTCCGAGGGAGCGATGATGTGGCAGCCTGAGGAGGGGAGGACAGACGTCGGTCAGGAGCGCAGGGAGCCCGGCGGGAGCACTGCCCTACAGCGAGTCGGCAGCGGGGTCAGTGTGGGAGCGCTCTGGGGTCTCCGCTCACCAGCCTTGGCGTACGCGAGGGCCACCTCTGCCAGCCGCCGGCAGCTCGCCTCGTTGTCAAGGGAGCCGTCCTCCCGCAGGATCCCTGCAGAGGAGAGAAACGCAGGACCAGGGCATCACGGAGACAGCAGGCACGCACAAGTAAGAGAGCGCTCTCACCACAGGCTGTGACGGAGACACGCAAAAACCTCTTTAGGGCTTAGGTATCAGAGAAATCCCCCCTCCATATCCAATCAAATCCCAGAATTCCCACAATTGCCAGAATCAGGACAGCTTCCAAACCTACTGTCAGATCCCGAAGGAGAGATGAGCTTCTCACTATTTCTATTGTTAGAAACGTTTGTAAGTCTCTTGCGAATTGTGATTGCCTTTGCAACACTGTCATGCATCAGTCATGCCAATAAAGCACTTTGAATGTGAAATCTGAACGGCTCTTGGGCATACTTACACAGCCACAGACAGGCACACCAGCTCTGCACGGGCAGTGCCACTCACCACAGTGTCCATGAGAGGTGTAGGGGCACAGGCAGACATCGCAGGCCAGCAGCAGGTCTGGGAAGGTGGTGCGTAGTTTGCTCAAGGCCACAACCACAGGCGTGTCCTCAGAGTCCGCACCAGAGGCACGCTCATCCTGCAGAGCGGAAAAGGGTCACTGGGGCTGGGGGCTGGGCATGAGGCTGGTAAGGCAATAATGGATCACTATAGTGCTTCCACATGTGAGCTGACTGCAATGACTAACGATAGGAGGCATTTCTCTTTCCACACACAGAGCCTTATTTTGTCAGAAAGAGAGTTGTAACTGCTCTAACTATTATAGAAAAAGCCTGTTGTGACTGTGTCATACATTCAATCACGGCACCTCTGGGCCCACCTTGGGAATCTTGGCTGGAACTCCAAAGAGGAGAACACACTTCAGGCCATTGTCCACCAGGGGGCGCAGCATAGCCTCTAGCTTGTTCACCCCATATCTGTGGACAGGGAGAAAAGGGATTGTAAACAGTCATTTGACAGAACTGACCAGAGCTCTCACACATCCTGGAAAATCTGTAAAATTTGTTTGCAGAACTGGGAAAGTCACATTTGCATCTGAGATTCAGCAGCTTAAGAGCTTTCCAACTCTTAAGTCACAGAAAGCAGCATAACAGTTCTCTTCTGAAAAGCTGCAGGTGTTTCTGCACATGGCTTTAAACTGGAGTCCGTGCTTCACCTGCTACTACAGCAAACCCACACTGAGCTGTGAGCAACCAGGAAACAGATAATTCATCACAAAGAGTCATTACTGCAGGGCAACTGATAGGCAGGTCGCCCTCCTGCTGCTGACTCTGTGGGCTGGGAGATCAGGACTGTGGGAGCAACAGCCTGACAGCTCTGCCCATTATCTGTGACCCCACCCAGGACCCCTCCCTTTATCTCAGGCAGCAGTCCAGCTCCCCCCCACCGTCGGCACCAGTCCCCAGCTGCTGTAGGGGCGTCCCGGGCTGGCCCTCTGCGTGTGGGGCTCAGCCAGTACCACACTACACAGCACACCCAGGACCAGGGGCTGCGGTGGACTAGCGCTCCCAACAGTCCATGGGAGAGGAGAGAGGAGTGAAGAGACAGGAGCTGCAGTACCTGGCCTGTCCCGGCAAACTAGCGATGGGCTCCACAGCGTCAGGGCTGTCCCTGCAGGGAGAGGAGAGGACATCAGTGCAGTTGTGTCCAACACACGCACAGACGTGAGGAAACAGGCGACTTCACTGGCAGACACGCGGACAAGCA